GGTTTCCCAGGAGAATTTTACAAAACATTTAAGGAAGAGCTAACCCCTGTCCTTCTCAGACTATTCCAAAAAAACCAAGAGGAGGGAAGACTGCCAGACTCCTTCTATGAGGCCAGCATCACCCTGATCCCAAAACCAGATAAAGACCCTACAAAGGAAGAAAACTACAGGCCAATTTCGCTGATGAACATAGATGCTAAAATCCTCAACAAAATATTGGCAAACCGCATCCAGCAATACATTCAAAAGATTATCCATCACGATCAAGTGGGATTCATCCCAGGGATGCAGGGATGGTTCAATATACGCACATCAGTAAACGTGATACACCACATAAATAAAAGAAAAGACAAAAACCACATGATCATCTCGATAGATGCAGAAAAAGCATTTGACAAGGTACAGCACCCATTTATGATCAAAACACTCAGCAAAATGGGAAACAATGGGGCATTCCTCAACGTAATAAAGGCCATATATGAAAAACCTACAGCCAATATCATACTCAACGGGCAAAAACTGAAAGCTTTCCCACTAAGATCGGGAACACGACAAGGATGTCCGCTCTCACCGCTTCTTTTCAACATCCTATTGGAAGTCCTAGCCACAGCGGTCAGACAAGAGAAAGAGATAAAAGGCATCCAAATAGGAAAGGAGGAAGTAAAACTATCATTGTTTGCAGATGACATGATAGTGTACATAGAGAACCCTGTAGACTCTACCAAAAAACTCCTCAACCTAATAAGTGAATTTGGCAAAACAGCAGGATACAAAGTCAACAGTCAGTAATCAAAGGCGTTTTTGTACACCAGCAATGCAATAGAAGAAGAAGAAATCAGGAAAAATATACCATTCGATATAGCACGAAAAAAGATAAAGTACCTAGGGATAAATTTAACCAAAGACACAAAAGACCTGTATGCAGAAAACTATACAACATAGAAAAAAGAAATTAAGGAAGACACAAATAAATGGAAGCACATACCGTGCACATGGATTGGAAGAATTAATATCCTTAAAATGTCCATACTACCAAAAGCAATTTATAGATTCAACGCAATCCCTATTAAGATACCAATGACGTATTTCACAGAAATAGAACAGACATTTCAAAAATTTATATGGAACCATAAACGACCTCGAATAGCTGCAGCAATTTTGAGAAAGAAACACAAAGTAGGAGGGATCACAATACCGGACATCAAACTCTACTACAAAGCCACTATACTCAAAACAATCTGGTACTGGCACAAGAACAGACCCATAGACCAGTGGAACAGAATAGAAAGCCCAGAATTAAGCCCAGGTCTCTATGGACATCTAATATTTGACAAAGGGGGCAGAAGCATAAAATGGAGCCATAACAGCCTCTTCAACAAATGGTGTTGGGAGAGCTGGATGGCTACATGCAAAAAATTGAAATTGGATCCTCAGCTGACACCATACACAAAAATAAACTCAAGATGGATAAAAGACTTAAATATAAGTCGCAACACCATCAAAGTCCTAGAGGAGAACATTGGCAGGAAACTCTCAGATATCCCACGCAGCAATTTTTTCACTGATATGTCTCCTAAGGCAAGGGACATAAAGGAAAGAATAAACAAGTGGGACCTCATCAAAATAAGAAGCTTCTGCACAGCTAAAGAAAACATCAGCAAAATGAAAAGGGAGCCAACCATTTGGGAAAATATATTTGCTAATGATACATCAGATAGAGGTTTGATCTCCAAGATATACAAAGAACTCACTCGACTTTACTCCAAGAAGACAAACGATCCAATCAAAAAATGGGCAAAGGACCTGGGCAGATGCTTTTCTAAGGAGGAGATACAGAGGGCCCAGAGGCATTTGAAAGGATGCTCTGCATCACTAGCCATTAGAGAAATGCAGATCAAAACCACCATGAGGTACCACCTCACACCGGTCAGAATGGCCATCATAAACAGATCCACAAACAACAGGTGCTGGCGAGGCTGTGGAGAAAAGGGAACTCTAGTCCACTGTTGGTGGGAATGCAGACTGGTGCAGCCACTATGGAAAGCAGTGTGGAATTTCCTCAGAAAGCTGAAAATGGAACTGCCTTTTGATCCAGCGATTCCCCTGCTGGGACTATACCCTGAGAACACCAAAACACCAATACAAAAGAACCTATGCACCCCAATGTTCATAGCAGCACAATTTACAATAGCCAAGTGTTGGAAGCAACCTAAATGCCCATCAGTAGATGATTGGATCAAAAAATGATGGTACATATACACAATGGAATACTACGCAGCAGAAAGAAAAAAGAAGTACTAAACTTCGCAACAGCATGGATGGAACTGGAGAGCATCATGCTAAGCGAAATAAGCCAGGGGGCGAAAGACAAATACCATATGATCTCACCTATAAGTGGAACCTAACCAACAATGCAAAGAAGCAAGGCAAATATGACCAGCAACACTGAAAGGAAAAGAAATCAACAGAGACAAGAGGGAAGGGGGGGGGCAGGGAAAGGGAAGGGAAGGGGAAAGTCAAGGAACATATAGCAAGGACTCATGGACAAAACCAAAGGGGAAGAGCTGAGGGAGGGAAGGTGGGAGGGGGCAAGGGAAAGAGGGGGGGGAAGGCAGAGACAAATGTATTTAAAAAGTAAATAAATTAATTAAAAAAAAGTATATACTAAAGAAATAAAAACAATAAAATTAAAATTAAAAAATAATAAGTACTTATTACTAAAAATAGTTTTTAAAGATTTTATTTATTTATTTTTAGAGAAAAGGGAAGAGAGGTAGAGAGAGAGGGAGAGAAACATCGATGTGTGGTTGCCTCTCACGCACCCCCTACCAGGGGGGCCTGGCCTGCAACCCAGGCATGTGTCTTGACTGGGAATCAGACTGGAGACCCTTTGGTTCAAAAGTCAGCACTCAATCCTCTGAGCCACACCAGCCAGAGCTAAAAAGTATATGCATATGAGAGGGAACACACACACACAAAAACAGAATTATCTTCTGGAGGGCAGGCCCCTTGTAGTACAGGCTTCCCCCACTAGGCGAATGTTCTGGGAACCCATCTGTATCAGTGTACCAGCTGACGTTGTTGTGACAGGCTGCGTTTGGCTTCAGCGAATTTTGTTTTTAAGACTCTTTCAGCATAGCTGCCAATTTCATCATGGGTGATTTACGAGCACACCTGCCCACACCAAGCTGTGTGTTCAGCAGTTTCTGGCCAAAAATGGCATATGCCCCATGCTCCACCCTCCTTATTCACCAGATTTTGCCCCAGCGATTTCTTTTTGTTTCCCTGGATGAAAAAAGTCCTCAGAGGGAGACATTTTGCCAATCTGGAAGAGGTGAAACAAATACATCCAAAGCACTACTGAGATCTTTCTTTCCCTTTACAATACACAATGAGCATCTTATGCATCAGAGCACAGGTTGAGTAATGCCAGGGCCCTCCCTCAAATAATTATATTCTGCAGGCATCAAAATCGACAAGTTCAAAAATTGTTTTGAACAGTGGAAAAAATGTATTGATGGGTGTATTGCATCAAATGGAGAGTACTTGGAAGGTGACTGAAATTTAAACATGTAAGAATAAATACACAATTTTTTATAAATAAATTCTGTTTTTTGGGTCTCACGTCATATATATTTATAAATAATGTTATATATAATATATATTAGTCTTACAAAGAATTTTTACATATGTTTCAGCAAGGGAAGGGATAGAGAGAGATTGTTCCTTTAGATCTATTTCCTGAATCACTTTGTGTAATTTACACATACCCCTGAGGGTCTTCTGAACTAGGAAGACAGGCCTGCCAGCCTTCAGGGAGAGATCATGTCACAGGAAAAGGAAGACAAAACCTTAGACCCTAGATTTAAAGCAGCAGTTCTGACTACAGCATGATATATTTCACTCAAACGTCTATCTCAGTTCAGCTCCCAAAATGGACTCATGTCTGACTCTTACGGAGAGAAATTCTGTGATTGAAAACTGAAGGGGCTGCTCTGCTAAGAGCTCTGCAAGACATTGCGACCCAAGCAATCCTGGAACGGTCAGTGTAAAGCAGAGGGAGAGGCTTCAGAAAAGCAAGTGGAGAGTTTAACCCACCGGGGACTCCAAGTAACTAAGGGAATTTTGGGTACTCGATGACTTTAGTGCCCCAGCAGAAAGCAAAGGACCCAGCAGAAGAGCAGCAGTGCCCAGCAGACAGAGCAGGACCCAGGGTGGAGCTCAGCAGCAGAGGACTGGCAAGGAAACCCGCTACCTCCACGCCTATTGGACTTATTCCAGAGCACAGGTTGAGTAATGCCAGGGTCCTCCCCCAAATAACTATGTTCTGCAGCGGGTTGGGGTTCTGTTTGCACAGGTGGGAACAAGAGTTCACCAAGCACAGCTCGGAGTCCCTTCCTTTCTTCCCCACAGAAGCTTTGAGGCAAATATTTTCCTCATGAAAAAAAACGAGGTGTTAAAGCAAGTGTGTCCATAATAACTGCCAGTTTTACTCCTCTGACTAAGAGATCCAGAGGTGATTTAAAGTTTACATTTCTAGTTCTGAGTTTTTAAGTGTTTCACTGCCTTTCAGAGGTGACTGACGAGTTCTTTTATTGTCTGTTTATTTTAGTTTTTTGTAATATACACATATTCAATTTTTGGAAAATGAGAAGATGCAGATAGGCAAAAAAGAAATAAAGTCCAGACCACACAGAGAGTCACTGTTAATGTTTTGGTGTAAATAATTCAGAATATTTGCATTATGTCATATATAAATGTACATTATGTATACATAATGTTTTGCAATGCCTTGCTTTCACTTTACAATACACAATGAGCATCTTATGCAAATGACTGAAACAGGCTGTTAAATTAATGAGATTGGGTCAAAAGATGCGATGTCAGTAACAAGTTATATGTAAATCAAAGGAACATGGAAGGGTTGGAGTAAAATTAGCACAGAATTGCAGACAAAAAGAACTCAGTGGTGGCGATATTCAAACAGAAAATAGTTGAATTCAGGACAGAAATGTATTACATGGGATAAGGACGTCCTGGGAATGCCTGTGATTAGAATGCAGACCTCTAAACTTCTTTCTCAGACCTCTTATCTCTTCCAAACACCTTTCTATCTCATCTCCCTTTCTTGTCATTTCTTCATTATTAAAATGCCTATAATCTATGTCTTTTTTAAGTTCCTTTAGAGATTGAAGCAGCCTTTGCCTAAAATTGCCTTCAGTTTGATGGCGTTCAAATTCTCCACAGGGGCCTTTTCCCTCTCTCTTCAGCATGCTGCGCTTGGGTTTTCCTTCATTTTCTTTGCAGGGTTTTTGCATGATGTAGTTGTTTCCTGCTTAAGTCCAGGGAGAAAATGTGGGGTGAGATTGTTTCATTTCCTTTGGTTCAGGATTGTCAGTTTTTCTTTGAAACAAGATGCTCGCCTAATCTCCTGCCTCCGCCACACAGGTCCAGACCTCAGAAATTTGATATTTCTCCCCTTTTTACCCTCCTCCTCTCTGTCTCCTTTCCCCGCCTCCTTTCCCTCTCTTAGCAACCCACCATTTACTCAGCAGACTAGCCTAATGGCCTCTCCGATGGGTAGGAGAAGGGAAGCGGATGGAGAGTGAGTTATGAGCCTGCATATTTTAACAGCTCTCGCTTTTACCAATTCCCATCCTCAGAGACCCTGGACTAAGTATTTCCCTCACACTGACCTGTGACAATTTTGAATAGTTTCCTCCCCCGTTTCTTGCCTCGAGATGCCTATGAACCCAGATACTCAGGCCTGAAGACAGAAAGGAAGGAGGGGAAGAGAGAGTTCTCTGGGGACTCACTAGCCCCAAAGATAAGACAGACATTATTATTTTGAATCTGGGATCCTCATAACTGTTGTTGCCCAAAATTTCCTACTTCCTGGTTCCCCTCCAGTCTCTGTCCTTTCCTCTTGGATCTCTGTCCCCACCCCAGATCCCCTAACACTAGACCTAATCCTTGCAAGGCCCACTGTTCCCTTCCTCCCCACCTTCTCAGGCTGGCATTGAATGAGATGAATTATTTTCAGTTTATCTCTAAATTTCTCTGTCTGAACCCCAGGACTCCAGCTGTTCTCCACACACCAGCCTACACCTCATTTCCTTCAACAGAATTGGAGTGAGAAGGGTAAGGATAAAGGAAAAGCTTGCCAATCTGAGAGAAGCTGATTATTTCTAAACTGTCATTGAATCTCTGGGTGTCTTTCAGGAGACTTCCACTTAATTTAGCCTCCCCTGGCCCCACCCACTTCTCCTCCCCCTTTCAAAAAATAGTTACCTTTGATGGGTCTGCAGGGGTTTGGGGAAAGCCACTAGATTCAGCATTACTACCCTAAGTGGTTCCCTCACACCAACCTGCTGGAATTTAAGAAATTTATGACTTTCTTCTCTTGGCCATAGACACCATCACTGGTAGGGCAGTAAGGAGCTGGTACTCAGAGGAGAAAATAGCCCAGCAATACATGGACTTCATGTCAGCTCTTGGTCACGTGAGGATTATGTCATCTTCCAACTCTGGTCCCTTCCCACCGCCTGTGCTGTAGAAGGGGACCCCTTACCAATCTTCTGCCCCCCACCACACCAGGCCCTGTCACTCATTTTTGTCATTGTTAATACTAGAGATCAAAGTGGCCCCTTCTTCCTATAGATAAAATAAACCTCTCTCTGATTACCATAGTCATATTAAGCATTGTTACACTTTTGTGGCTGTGTTGACAGAGAGGATTACTCATCCTCTTATAAACCACAAGAACAGAAGGTAACAGTCTTCCTCCACCCACCCTCTCACCCACCACGAGTCACTAATAGCCACCACTTCCTTTGCAGTTCAATTCTTAAAATCAAATTCGAGCAGGATGGGTAAATTAACAAAGGTAATGATTGGGATTTTGTTTTTTAACTTTTGTTCTGATAATTTACTATCTTTTTCTGTAAACTTATTATAGTTCTATAAATTTATTATAGTCTTTTAATAATCAGAAATATAATAACAATAGCCCTGGTGGGTGTGGCTCAGTTGGTTGGGTGTCCTTTTGCAAACCTAAAGGTCATAGGTTTGATTCCCATCGTGGCACATGCCTGGGATGATGGTTTGGTCCCCAGTCGGCGTGCATGCAAGAGGCAGCCAATCCATGTTGTTCTCTAGCATGGATGTTTCTCTCCCTCTCTTTCTCCCTTCCTTCCCCTCTCTCTGAAATCAACAAAATAACAAAAGTTTTTTTTATTAAAAAGAAATATAACAATAATGAGAAATACAATCCAAATATGTATATTTGGAAAAAGGATTTAAAATAGGAAGACGAAAACGCCCTGCCACCTGTTTCTGCAGCTGAGTCATAAGATAAATATAGACTCTCTCAGCAGATACATTTTTGGAAGTTGACAATGTACAGGGCAGCTGGACAAACTACCCTTTTGAGGCACTCCTGGTTATGTGAAACACTTTCATTAGGTAAGCTATTAAAGCCATAATTCGACAGTACTTTGTCCTTAGATGTTTCAAATCTCAAAAGCCAGTAATAAAATTATACTAGTTTGAGCTCAGTATCATGTCCTCCCTATCCCAGTTTGTACCATGCCCTAGTATTTCCTTCAACTGTGTAATCAAAAGATTCTACCTTTCCTCAACACTCTTATTCAGAATCAAATAGTTTTTCAATTCCATCCTATTTATGTTTCCTTAGACCTTATTCAGCCACAATGAGGAATGAGAAGCACTAACAGAAACTGGCCACTTTTAGTCACTTATCACACCAAACTTCTTGTTGCTAAGGATTTTGATACTAATCTAAGTGCATTTGTTATCTTGAAACAGATGTAACAGAAAGAAGGAAGCATCCTTAAAACTTGTTTTTAGGAAGACTGTGGCTCATTATGAAATCAAAGTTGCCGCTAAACAAGTTTGATGTAAATGGTTCCAGAAAATACTTTTAAAGAGGGAAGAGGTGTCTTGCAGCCTTTCAAGGCCAGGCAGGTTCACTAAGGATTCAGGCAGATGGAAGAAAATGCACAGAGCCATAGGAATGCCTGACATGCTTCTATTCAAGGGTGGGGCAATCCATGCTCATCACAAGCCGCTTGTCACGCAGCCGCATGTCACGCAGCGGGAAGCCCCCAAGTCCCTTATATACTAAAAGTACACAAAGCCGGCAGGGTGCCAAAACATTGCCTAACACAGCGTTATTCTGTGCACGTGGGCCAACTCAAGGTTATGAGAATTTTCCTTATCTTAGTTACCCAGACATCTGGGTGAGAGACCAAACTGACTCCGTTTACCCTACAAGAGGTCTTTAAAAGAGTGAAGCATTGTTGTAACTGTTATTAACAAATGATTAATTGTGAGAGAGGCAAAAGATTTGTTGGTGAGGTAGAGAACTCCTGAATCCTCTATGAACAGCTTTTCATGCAGATGGTTAGACTGTTTTCAAATGATTGGAAGGATCCAGGTGCTGAAGACTTCAGCATTCTTAAGGAAAAGCATGACTTTGAACAGATTGGAGTTTGAATTAATTTCATTTGCATACCTGTTCTTTAACCTTGGATCTAAAAATTGGATATTAAAACTTCCCTGTGTCTCATTTATAAAATGTGTTTAATAGTTCTAAGTACGTTATAGAGTTGTCAGGATTAAATGAAAATGTGTTTAATAGTTCTAAGTACATTATAGAGTTGTCAGGATGATTGAAAATACCAAGTGTTCCAAACAGCAGGTCTCAATGATTACCTCTTCAGGATCTCAGGAATCCTTCCAGTTCCCACTCTGGCTCCACTGCCACTCCCCTAATGCAAGCATCCATAATCTCCTGGACCATTCCAACAACATTTACTGGTCTCTTTGCCTTACAATTCGCCACGTTCAATAGAATAATGATTTCATATAACGGATATGCTATCACTGCCCTGCATTATTTTACTTCATTCTCCAACAATCCCACTAGACAGGAACATCTTTAGTTGACCTTCTAAACAATTCACAAAACACATCTTTATTTATAAGTACAGTTGTACCTCAGGACTCGTTGACTTTAGAACTTATCAAACCTATTACTTCTTGCATTTTGACAAGAAAAAATGTTTCAGCACTCGGCACTTGCTCACCGCTCGTCACACTTGCTAAAGCTTGTATCAGTCATGACGCCACCCCACAAGAGAAAATGCTTCATCAATTCCTGCTTGCTTGCCACTCCTAGGGATGAATTAACTCCTAGGGATGAATACTGAGGTATCACTGTAAAAGCTTGCATGAAAATAAATGTAAGCAAAGTAAGATATTGTGTTAGATTTGAGCTCTTTACCTGGTAATGGCTGATGGGACTCCCAGGTGATAACAAAGAGACATTATTTATCATGAAAAAAAACTCCAACATTGGGACCAGATACCTTCATAAGAGCTTACCTAAAAGCATCTAGGCCAGCTCTACTATGGACAATAGTCACTAAAGACTTCCCTCCCCCATGTCAGTGTAAGAAGACAGGTAAGGGTAAGAAGTAAAGAACTGTGGGAACCATTGACCTTGTGGGGAGTTTAATGTTGTTCATTACAACAACAGTAGCAATAATACTTAACACATATAATAACAGAAAGAAATGTGGAAAATATGTAGAAATTAAACAACACAATTTCAAATAATAAATGTGACAAGAAACCACAAGAAAATTAGGAAAGACTTTCACACAAATGAAAATTAACATCCAATATATCACAACTTATGGGATTCATATAAAGTAGTGATTAAAGTAAAATTAATATTTGCAGGCATATACATTAAAAAAAGAAAGACCTCCAAACAATAACCTTCTACCTTATGAAGTAATGAAAATAAGAGCATAGCAAACCCAAGGCAACAAGAAGGAAAGGGATAGTAAGGACTAAAGCAGAAATTAATGGAATAGAGAAGAGGAAAAGTACAGAGAAATTCAACAAAACCAAAAATTGTTTCTTGGAAGTGTTCAACAAAATTGAGAGACTTCTAGTTAGACTGATTGGGGAAAAAAGAGAGAAGACTCTTATTACTAAAATCAGAAATGAAGCAGCTATTACTACTGCCCTTACAGAATTTAAAAAATAGATTTTAAGAGAATACTATGAATACTTGTATGCTAATTTATTAAATAAATTCGATGAAACAATCAAGTCCCTAGAAGGACACAAACTACCAGAACACACCAAAGAATAAAATAAAAATCTGAATAGATCGATAACAAAGAGATTAAATTAATAATTTATAATCCTCCTAATAAGAAAACACCAATCCCAGATGGCTCCACTGGTGAATTCTACCAAGCATTTGAAAAGAAATAATATA